CCTGAAGGAGGAGGTTGAAGTGATGAGGCGAGAGACGGAGGAGCGCATAAGGAAGGAGCAGTCCACTTGCAACCGCTGTGATAAACAACTCAAATCCTCACAAGCACTAAGAAGACATGACGCGCTGTACCATCCCGGTACCGAAAGACCAAGGGGGTTACCAATATGCTGTATAGGCTGTGACACTATCTTTAAGACTGCGGCAACATACGTAAAGCACAAATGCACAGGAACCTTGAAGAATGAACTATCGGCTAAACGCTGTCAATTATGCGATCAAGGCGAGCTGTCCAATCCGGAATACTCTGCCCACATGCTCATGCATCAGATTACGACTTCCAGCCAGGAGGTTGACCAAAAGGAACTCTACGATCCGAAATGAAGATGGAAATAACCAGCGAACAAGATTGAGACGGGAACCCTACAATATCGAAATTTTAGGAATGACAGCTGCGAACAAACTGGATACTCAGACCCTCCAATATAGGAAGAAAGTCGTAAAGAGGATGGTGGACAGATTGAAGATCTGTCTGCGCTGTGAGGCCGTTCAGACGGATCCTCACCTGATGAAGCGACACTACAAGAAGTACCATCGAGGACAGTATTACCCGCCTAAGGGGCAATCGATCTTCTGTGCAGGATGCAATAGGCGACTATGGTCATGGACCTATAGGGTCCACAGGTGTACCGGAACCCTAGAGCAGGAGAAGCGCAAGCTTACGTGTTCGAGATGTGGTGAGGTTTTTGCCAATCCACATCTATCCGTGCACCTACTCGAGTGTCTACAGCCAACGGAGGATAACATAGATGAGTACAGACTTGATAAGCATGCGTACGATGGAATACGAAACTTAGAGCAAAAGGAGCTGAGCTCGGAGGAAGAGGACTTAGAGGTACAAAGGGGCATGAACATCAGGGACAAGACCCTGGCAGCAGTCAAGACGAACTTGATGACATGCGAACCATGTGGAAAAAAGTTCACGACGACACAGGCCAAAAGGAGACATGATAACGTAGCACACCAGAAAATTACAACTATAAAAGGGAACCCGACGTGGTGCTCGGGCTGCCATAAAGGATTTGGAGGCTCAAGTTCTTACATGAGACATCAATGCCCTAAAACTGACGATGAGGATAAAGAAGATGCTTGTGACACATGTGGCATAATGTTAATGAACCCTATGCTGTCGATACACAGGCTTAACCACTACCGAGAAGACAGGAGGGATGAGTAGAGGTAGACCTTTTACAACCATGAACGCCTGCCCCGGCTAACGGGAGTCAAACAAACAAAGTCTGCAATGCTAGAAGCAACCGAACTTTTGACAAACAAACCTCCAACAACATAAGTAGGGATGGTAGACATACCA